ACTACTTTACCCCCTAAACTCCTGTTGCCGCTGCTATATTCACCTCCGCCACTCCCTTGTCGCTCCTGCTCATGCTGCTCTAACCCTCCCTGCCCCTCCTTATCTCTCCTCTCCACCACATCCATCCTTCCCCTCTCTTCTTTCCTTTCCCTCTTTTCCTTTCTTCTCTATCTGTTTCCATCTCTTCTTATTCTTAATATGATTTACTCCCTTTTATCACTTAACCCTATTCTTGCTTCCCTATACTTATCCTAACAATCCTGCTATAAATACCCTCTAAACTAACAATCTTTTATATCTGCTATCTAATTACCTTTATATTAATTATCTCCTTATTACTTATATGCATACCTCCTACCACTCGCTATACTAAACACTACCTAAATAATTCTTTAACTATCTCCTTTGCCTATTGCCTCTTAATTCTCTAATACTCTTGTACCTTGTGTCGGCTCTATCCTTCGCCTACCGCCGTCTATATACTGCATCGCATTATCTACTACCCTATGTACCTCTATCACGATTCTACGTCGGCAAACTTAAACTGTACCTACTGTATAAACGTCTAACACCGCCGGCGTCGTCTTACTACTATTGCTTAAATACTAACTATGCCTTATTGTACTCTACCTCAACTCTATCCTTATCCTTATTACTACTACTATTCTTGCTAATCTCTCTCTTTACCCTGCTCTATATTTATCTTTACTTCTCTTTCTATTTTCTTTACTTCTCCTTCTTTTCTTTATCGATTGCTTCTTGTGTCCTTCTCTATAAACTTCCTTATCTTTCTCTCTCTTTCTTCTTCTACTCATCGTCTATTCCCTCTACTATACTCCCCTTAAATCTTATCGGGTTTCTTTTTTCTCTTTATTTTTTTCTAATAACTATCTCTTTTTACTATTATTTGATTCTAATCTCTTCTATCTTCTCATTAATCTATTCCTAACAACTTGCTCTGTCTTCTACTACAATCCTAATCCTCGAATCCGACTTGATTTAATGATTTATTTCTTTCTCAAACACAATCTAATATATACTACAAACTATACCGGTTTTACTTACCTTATCTATCTATTATTAATCTCACCGACTTTATACTCTCTCTTTTCTAATCTTTCTTTCTTTGCTTTATACCCGCATGCTTATTTTTAACATAAATAACTCTTCTTTGAACTTTTGCTCTTACCGTACTCTCACTGTACTCAATACTCTTACTACTACTATCTTTGCCTTAATTACAATTACTCTCGCTTCTACCACCTCTACCCCTGCTATTCTTGTAACCTTTCCTTCTATCGCTACTATCACTCTTACTGTCCATTTAATTACCCGTTCCAGTTCTACTATTGCAACTCCCGCTGTTCCTGCCGTCCTTGCTGCTCTCAACATGCTCGTTATTATTCCTACCGCTACGAATACACCTGTGTTTACTGCCGCTTCTACACTATCGCCACTGCGGCTCCTACCCTTGCTACACCTACTATTCTTACTGCTCCTGCTATTCTTACTGCTCCTGCTCCTACCCCTCTTACTTCTACCTCCTGCTCTTGCTACTCTTACTCCTGCCGCTCTTACTCCTCCCCATTCCGCAATCCTCCCTATTACTGCTTCTGCTCTCCCCACTTCCTCTATCTCTACTATCCCCGTCCTTCTTGCTGCTCTCGCTTTCCCCGCTCTTCCCGCTGTCTCTACTGCTCTCTTCTGCCCCTTACCTCCTACGCCTCCTCCACCTGCGGTAACTGCGGTTTCGGCGGCCGCTACGCCTCATCTTGTCGCTGCTCCTACTACCCTCGCTGCTTTCGATTTCCTTGCTGCTCTTAATATCTTCGCTATTAATCCTACGGCTTC